CTAAGAGGGATGTCTTCCAACCCAAGAGCGATGGCCTCCAACCTAAGGGCTAGAAAGTTCTGAAAGTTTAAAGAAAAAGAAGAGGAAAAGAATGCATCATTGTTCATGATTTTCTCTGGGGAGCAGCTCATTATCTATGATGGGATTTGCCAACAGAGCGGTCTTTGGGGCCAAAGATGCCACATAAGGAATAATGCGGCTACTAGGCTTGAGACGGAGAAGGGCGCCGTTCCCATGATTGGTTTGATTCTAAATCTTTAGAGGGGCTTAGCTTTCAAGAACTATCAACTATGCGTCTTGTCACCAAAACCCCAGTTTACAAGACTCTTGATCTTTTGAGGGATGTGGCAAGTGTGCAAAGTGCAATGCAGTCTGGCAAAGTTAAGCTTCCCTTTCTGCACTTAGACTTATTCCTGGACTGGTGTTACCATCAATGCCCACGACACGCAAGCCAGAGTTGGGAACTCTATTGGTGTGCAAACGAAGTTCATCAAACATTGTCTTACAATGGTGGTGATATGTTGCTTTCCGGGTGCTGCTGATACAATTTGCTATTTCTAGAGTCGTAGTCGTAACAAGCAAATGATCCTACGAAATCTTACTTAGCCTATTAGCAAGGCAATTTCCTCTGACTTAAAAAGCATGGCCTGGCTAGGCCTACTTAGGCCCACTTGTCTCCTTTCCAAATCTCATTCCCAACCATAGCAGCATCACAAGCGTCATGTCATGGAACTGATGTAAAGAGCTGAGGCGCTTGCCCACCGGATGTCTTAGCACGCTTCTGGGGTGGCTCGGAGGTTGCCTGCTGTCCAACAATATGAAATGTCCTGTTACCACCTCTTTTTTGAGCAACAGTTCGCTACTATGTCAGGTATAGATTTGTGTTTTTGCCTAAATTACACCGCAGGCACGAGTAGGTGCTGGGCGGGTTCCAGCCCGATGCACACGGCGCTGCACGAGGCAGCCTCAGGCACCTGCAACTGATTGCAGCGCGCAAAATGCAATAATTGGAGAGCCTGAGCCTTGCATTTCAATATAAAAGGCAGCGTCCCCCAAAATGGAAGAAACCCATGGAGGTGCAGTTATGTCCAAAAACATCCAAAACTAACGCATGTCGAAGAAAATTTCTGGGCTTCATTGTCTGGATTTGCCGCGCACTGGCATGGGGGCGCTGCCTTTCTGACCACACACAAAGGAGCTGGGTACGGCGCGAATGCCGCCACCTCCTAAAAACCTAGGTGAAAAAAATGCCTCAGTAGACCACGTGAGTCCAGGCCCATCACACACTAAAGAGTTGAGTACGCACGGTTCGATTACGCCGCTACACCCACGAAGGCCGAGGGCCTAGGTCAAAATTGGTTGAATAAAACAAAGGTCACAACAACCCCGTGCGAAACGCAAACTTTCTTCCAAGGCATAATGGACCTTTTGATAACTCTTCCAAGTCTTACAGCATTTCGGTTGTCTTGCATTTCAAGGCCTGTCGTTCAAAGTACTGCGTTTTACAATAGAAAGTTGCGTTTTTGTTCCGTTTGCAGTGGGATTATAAGATGAAAATGGGTTCCCATTGCCAAAACAAACAGGAAATGTTTCAACGAAAGGTGCTCTGACATAACCCCGGTCAAAATGGTTATAATAGACATCACAACCAACTCGATAAAATCCAATTGATTTCCGTAGCTTCATTGGCGCTGATAGGAAATCTGTTTCCCTGCCCATTGTTTGAAACTATTCGTATGGCGCGATTCCGCAAGGTTGCCAACAACCACAAATTTTGCCCGGAAACGTTGGTGCAAGGGTGAAAGGAAGACATGAAAGGGGGCAAAGGCATGTCAAGCTGCAATGAAGGGAAAACATGAAAGCTAAATGAACAGGGACCCAGTGAACCGCACCTCATTGTAAGAAGCCTGGGGGGCCTGATAGTCTAGTTTGCTGGTAAGCGCGCACGTACTCTCAGGTCTGAACGAATGAGCACGCAAGAGAAAAGGGTGATGAAATGACAGGACCTGAAAACAGGCGCGACATGAAAAGAAAACTGGAAAGGTGTGTAAAGGCCAACGAAAGGGGAACCAATTGACAGGGCACTAACCAGAGCAAATCCCCAAACCGCTTTGTCCACACGTGGCAGACCTGACGTGTTAATTTTGCAGCCACAACCTAAGAAGGAGGATGAAGAAGGTACGGAAAGAAAAGTGAAGGAAGGGGAACACAAAAGAGGAAAATCCTCCCAAACAATGTGTCTAAAGGTCTAAGGTCTAGAGGTGTAGAAGCAAAAGGTCTGGTGAGATCATGGTGGTTTGGTGGTGGTGATGGGACGATGGTGGTGGTGCTGCTGCTGGTGATTGTGGTGGTGGTGATGGCGACGGTGGTCATGGTGGTGGAGGTGACAACTGCAAAATTGAAGGTCCAGGTCCCACAGATCTAGAGGTCTAGAGGTGGAGAGAGTGTGTAGATTGAACATGATGTGTACCATTGAGGAGGAGAAGAACTATATTTGGGAATCAGCTCTTCGAGTGAAGATCCTTTGCGAACAGAGTCCTGATTGGAGCAAGGTACTTCCTGCGAATGATCTGAGAAGGTTCATGATCGAGGGAGCACTGTTGCTTGCCAAAAGACCTGTACCATGGGTCCATGGCATCATGGAGGCATCATGGAGGCATCAGAGCACCAATGTCTGAGAACACGAGAGCACATTTGCTGCGCCACCCACGAAATCCGCACTTCAAGGTCCACAAGGTACTGCGCCTGCCACGAAATCTACTCTTCAAGGTCCACAAAGTACTGCGTCTGCCGCGAAACTGCACCTTCGAAGTCCACCAAGCGCTGCGCCTGCCACGAAACCGGCACTTCAAGGTCGACGGTCCACAAAGTACTGCTCCTGCCACGAAATCTGCACTTCCAGGTTCGCAAAGTATTGCAGCTGCCACAAATCCACCACAAAGTATCGCCCCTGCCACGAAAACTGTCCACAAAGCGCTGTGCCTGCCACGAAATCGGCACCTCAAGGCCCACAAAGCGCTGCACCTGCCACGAAATCAGGACTTCAAGATTCACAAAGCGCTGTGCCTGCCACGAAATCTGCACTTCAAGGTGCACAAAGTACTGCAGCTGCCACGAAATCTGCACTAAGACACCATCAAAATCCCAAGACGCAGCCTTCGCTCGAGACTTCCCCCCGAAATGCACTTCGAAGATCTCACGGCGCTGCAAATAGCAGCGAATTAGCCGGACGCACCGATGAGCACCTCGATCAGGCACCCGCCCTGAACCCGTACTGAGTGAGTGGGTAAGTGGGTGAGTGAGTGAGTGAGTGGGTGAGTGAGTGAGTGAGTGACACCTAAACACCCTGGAGAACGCGGTTGCCAAACATGACAGCCAACTCGATAAAGGCAGGTATAGTACAAGAGTTGGCGCCACAACTCTCATCCAACTGATTTCCGCAGCTTCGTTGGCACGGATCGGAAATCGATCTCTGCGCCCCTTTCTTGAAACCCCTTGTAAGAGCCACGTGATTGATTGAAGGGATACACTGATACACGCACGAAACTGAAAGGCCATGTATACTTCTCACACTACTCAAGGCGCACACCTTTTCTACAATGGAGCGGTAGAAAATCATCCTCTACATGTTGCATCTGACAACACCAAACTCAAAACATTAAAAGTCCGCGCGGCAAATTGTTTTTCAAGGATCGTCAGGTCTCGCGACGAACCTACCATGGCCGGGCCTCCATGCACCAAGTCAACGCGCAGGCCTGCACACACTCTGGACACAATAACTGCCTCTACCACTGTCAGTCTGAACATGAAAGAAGAAATGAAAGCCATTCCAGATAGATAGATAGATAGATGGATCGCCAGATAGATAGCCAGATAGATAGATAGATAGGTAGATAGATAGATAGATGGATAGATGGATACATAGATAGATAGATCGATAGCAGATAGATAGATAAATACATAGATAGATGGACAAAAAGATAGATAGATAGATAGATAGATAGATACATAGATAGATAGATAGATAGATAGATAAATACATACATAGATAGATAGATAGATAGATCCAACGATAGACAGATCAGTCGATCGTTTGATGGGTGGGTGGGTGGATGGATGGATGGATGGATGAATGGATGGATGGATGGATGGATGGATGCTTTTGCGTTGGTGGATGCCAAAATTCAAACCCTGCACCTGAGCATCTTCTAGTCTAATGGAGTTGCATTGCAAGATTGCACCGTCTGGCATTGTGAGGCTGCATTGTCATCTACAGCATCTGCCAGGCGCTGTCGTAGGTGAGTTTGGAGAGCAGGTTGTGGAGCGTTGTCTCGCGTATGTCAATCTGCATCCCTGGTCGGTGGGAGCTCGGAGCGCTTGCATTCTCAGAATGGTGGTCGGGCGTGGAGTTCTCTCACTTCCTCCAAGGTCTCAAAGGATCTTTCTTCACGCAGAGCCCACGCTGTCTCTGGGCGTGATTCCATTGGAGGTACGGCGACGTCGCGGCGACGTGTGATCTGCAAGGACTACCTGCGAACCAATTGTCTGTCGGTAGGCCTGGGACTTCTGGTCCATCTTGGAGAACTTTTGCCCGCAAGGAGCTGGGCGGCGTTGTCGACTGCATGGCCTCCGTCCACTTGGTCGTCTCCTTCGCCATCAAAGGTTGAACGCCGGCCTCGCCTGGAGTGATCAAAATGAGGCAGTCCTGTTTGGACATGCTCCGCAGGTGATCTTCGTGCTTGATCAGGAGGCGCATCATGGTCTTGATGGGGCAGCTGACATCTGGCGCTTCTATCATGTCCTCGACAAGCGGGTGGAGCGGGGTTGCAGTAGCCCGTGCAAGCAGTGACCATGCATGGTGGCCAGTTCAGTGGAGAGAAGCCAAAAGTGTCCGTGCACATTGAAGATGCTTGAAAATCCCAAACAATCAAATCGTTTGAATCGAACACCGTTGGCAGTGCAAGCTCAAAATCGTGCGGAGAGCGCAGTCCTGGACACTGAGGGTCTTGAAGATGGTGCCATTGTTGAGGGCAGTCAAGAGGCAATGATGATCTTGCTGTTCATGGGTGCCTGAGGAACAGGCACTGATTCAAGGCCATGGTGCCGTCGTAGAAGGTGTGCTTCATCAAGGCATCCAAATGGGATGTGACATAGGTGCAGGTGTGGCAGCCAGGGAGTCAGCGGGCGCGATGAGTGAGTGGGTGGATGGGTGGATTGCGTTTTTGCTGCTTCATACCCGACCCATCAGCTCAAGCAGCTGAGCAGTGGGCAAGGCGAGCTCATACGATTTGCAAGCAGGGCCTCACTGAAGGCAGTGTTGAAGAGGAGAAAACAAGGTGGTGGCTTGGAGCTGAGCTCCTGATCATTCCGTGGAGTTTGTCAGTCCTCTCTATAAGGAACGATGGGCAAAGGATGATTGCTGGTTTTTCCACAATGGTTGGAACTCCTGTTGGGCATGTGGGTGAAAGAGACGTTCAATTAGCTCATCGCCCGTGTCATTTGAATGCACAAGCCAGAAAATGCAGCTGCATGCCCAGGACAAATAGGGCCTGACGCAAGACCTGCCTTGAGCGCCAGAACAATGATTCTGCACAAGCCCTTGGCACTGCCAGCAGATCGCAAATGAAACCAATGACTCTGACCAGATGTGGTGTGGACGAAATTAACCGCCCGGAGGGCCAAGCTCCTCCCTTAGCCCTGAACAGAAATCGCATGATCATGGGCGCCGACAAACAGCCTTGAGGGCACCTTGACCGCTAGCAATGTGTCAGAAGCGATCTCAGTTCTTCGCCAAGGTGACAGGCACCGAGGAAAAAAACAAAAACAATGTCTATGTTCACCATCATAGACGGAGAGGCCCGGAGGAGACTCGGAGAAAACTCCAGAACAGAGGATTTGGCAAGTCCATCCCAGTCCAGGCAAGGGCAAGACAAAGAGCAAGTTCAAAGGCAAATCTGGATCCTCCAAGGGATATAGAAACAAGGTAGGCACCGAATCTTGAACTCACCATGCCGAGCATGCCGTGCCAAAAGCCAAGACAAATCATGGTACCATTATCACCGACTGCAGGTCCCTGTTTGATTTGCGTACTGTTCGCTCAGGCCGGCAAATACGGTCTCCCTGATGAAGCAGAGATTTTGAGCGGGATCGTGTGAAATGGTTGCAGCAACAAGGCCAAGAAAAGAATGAAATTAGCTTTTGGGAGTGAAATAGTGTGAATGCGTCAACCTTGGCTGCATCACCTCCCACCCAGCTGTGGGTGGAGGTGGGCTCATCCAACTTGAGCCAGTTTCGAGCAGGGCCTCACTGGACGCAGTGTTGAAGAGGAGAAAACAAGTGTGTGTTTGTCGGCGGGGGCGGCTTGGACAATTTCATATAGAGATGAAAAAATGGATACCTGAGAAGGGGGGGAACGAAAGCCAGCAGCCGCCAGACGAGAGGGTCCTTTGCTACATAGCAAAAGGTTCGGGAGAAGGTTGCGGGGCAGGTCCATGAGGAGGTTCTGGAGAAGGTTCCGGAGCAGGTTCCAAAGCAAACAAGGCTCCAGAGGAGGGCTTGGACAGCGAAGAGACTGTCTCAGTGGCGCTTCTTGCTGTTGGGGACTTTCCTTGGGCTTATGCCACTGATCTGCCCAAGAAATAATCATACGTCAGAAACTACACTCTTTTGCCAGAGACATAGAGACACAGAACCATAGAGACATAGAGACACAGAGTCATAAAAGACAGGGACATCAAACACAAAGAAGTTGCTATCTACAGGGGGTCCTTTTCTGATAGCAACTTGTCGCTGCCAACCAATTACAATACTTGCCCCAATACATCCAAGGAGACTTCTCTGACAGGATGACTAGGAGGATGGCAGGAACTATATGTCTCAGCATTGGTGTCACCAACCGTGATCTAAAAATATGGCATAGATCCGTGACTATAGCCAATCCTTAAGCAGCAAGTTCTTCACGCCACCAAGTTGCTCTCTACACGGGCCCCTGTTCTGATAGTGACTTGTCGCTGCCAACCAACAACCGTATTTGCGCCAATACATACAACCAGTATCTATCTATCTATCTATCTATCTGTGATCTATCGATCGATCTATCTATTCTGTACTATCTAGCTGCGCGGCCAAGCCGGAACAACGTTCGGTGCACGTGGACGCCGCGAGAAGCATCCGCTCGACGGTACGGGTATAGTAGAGACTAGGATGGTTGCTCTGTACATGGGTGCCTGTCTCCACTCCAGTGCTCAATGCCCATTGTCCACATGGCCTCCACAGCCCTTCGTGATGCTAATGGTGCACTACTCGGCGTCCATTGCATCACTCGCATCACCAGACCCCATTTTCACTGCTTTTCTGACCCTCGCTTTGGAGCACTCTCCCCACCCCCACACCCCCTTTACTCACTTCGTTCGGTCTAAGAGCTCAAGCCTAGCCTATCGGCTGGCTTTCGTAATATTTATAGAGTATTGATATTATATGTACTGTATAATATGTGACATATTACATAATGTATATATAGTATGTGACATATTATTTTAATATATATATATATAGATAGATAGATAGATAGATAGATATGCGACATATTATATTAATATATCTACATAATATTTTTACTTTCTATATATCGTCCATTGACATCCCTCTTCTGAAAAAGGGCCCTCTTCTGCAGGCTTCACTCTGAGCTATCTCTTCTATTACAATCCTCGACTTGAGTACCACAACGGTACCCCCCGCCACGAATACCTACCTTTTCTATGAAAGCATCGTGCTTTACAGTGTTTTTTGCTGATTTTGTATTTGCTGGCCATCGTCGTGTTTTGTGAATGCTTGTCATACCTGGTATACAAAAATAGAATATATATATATATATAATGTTTAAAAGCTTATAAATATTCGACACACCTGAGAAGGGAGGGGACGAAAGCCAGCCACCGTTAAAGATACATATCAATATGGTCATGGTGAGTGAATGCGAGATCCCTGGTGAGCTCCCCGCCTCTTTTCCTATCACATCCCCCCGCTACGCCTCCCACTCCATATGGGGCGCCCTTCTCCGCTGTGCCTGTCTCATCCACATGAACTCCCGCCCCATATATGGGGTGCCCTTTTGAGTCTGGCTACTAGGCCTCTTCACCGTTAAGAAAGGGCACCCCCAAGCAATTCAAAGCTTGCCCGCTGCATTCTGTTCTCTCCCCTGCCCTCCGCATCATTACATGAACTCGCACCCCATATGGGGTGCCCTTTTGCGTATTGTTGACAGGCGTCTTCACCATTAAAAAAAGGGCACCCCCAAGCAACTCCAAGATTTCTTGCTTCCTACCCGCCCTCCTCCGCTATGCCTTTCATCCACCTTCCCCACAGCATTCTGTTCCCTCTCCTGCCCTCACAGATCATACAATGTCTTAAGAGACACACACACACACACACACACGCACACCCCTTTCACGCCTACGAACACTAGTTCAATGGCTACCAGAGATGCACATCTCCCTTTCCTGGAACAGCTCCAACCACTTTTCGCGTCCCGTTGTCCCCTCGATCTTATCATCGACATGAACTCCCACCCCTGGTTGAAGACGGTTTACATTGCCTCCTGAGCCGCTCATGATGCTGATGAGGCACTACTCGCCGTCAATTACATCACTTGCATCACAGCACCCAAAAAACCACTCATGTTCACTACCTCCTGGCCACCTCTTTTCTTCGCTCTCCCCCACCAGGCTCTTGACCCCCGCCCCCACACCCCCTTTACTCACTTCGTTCGCCCAACCCAACTTCAGCCTAGCCTATCGGCTGGCTTTCGTGATATATATATATATATAATATATAGGTGAAAATTAGACTTCAAAACAATCAAAGAAGTATTGAAAATCGATTTGGACCGAAGAAGGTAATAGAAAATCCTAGGATTTTTTGGAATATTTTTAGGATGTTCCTGGCATCAAGAACCAACATTGCACAGAAAGCCTTCGGGAACATATTGATTCTTGGTTCTTGGCTCCAGGAAGCCCTAGGGTGTCCAAGAAAATCCTAGGTTCTGTTTTATATGTCTTATCTGTATCGTCTTGGGCTTTTCTTTATAGGATTAGCAAGTTCATGTGTAAACAAGGTCACCAAGAAATCCAGAAAAACAACTGATCAAAACAAGTGTAGCAAATACATGTCCTACAAATGAGCATGTGCCATGAGAGGTAAGTACTGGGGGGTATATTATATATATAGAGTACTATAGTCAACTATGTTGAGTCCTATCTTTACATGTATAAGTATATTCTTACACAAAACTACATTTTGCAAAATTTTGTGAACATTAATGCTACACGACGCGAATGCATGTCTGCGAGCCTTCTTGCCTTACAATTGTGTGAAACACCGTGCTGCTTCTATCCTAGTAGTTCGAGGTCTTATTGGATGCTTCAAGCTAATAATATGCCATGTCCATGTTGAGCCTTTTCGTGAAAAAGTGTCCTGCCTCGTGGCTTTTGTGGCTCGAATGCATAGACGCTAGACTCTCGCGTTGCGTTGCTTTGTCTGCAGCGATCTTCGGTTTGAGTCTTGCTCCATGTGTGCGACTTGTTGCTTGGGTTTGGAATTGGCTTGATCATCTCTTTAAAGCAGCACCAGCAGCAGTTGTCATGAAGAAGGAACACCAAAGCTCCTTGTGGCTTGTTCGCTGCCAAAGCGAAGTTCGTAGCTTGCATGGTAGGTGGGAAGAAACATAATTTGCCTACATCTCATGTCAGGCCTTTGGCCGCACGCCGAGCTTTGCAGCGCTCTGTGACAGCTGGTTGGCACTTAGCCTACAGAAAAATGAATCGCAAGAGCCGCAAGAGCAAGTAGAATAAAGTCTAAAGTAGTGAAGCCAGGAAGGTTGTTTTAACTTGTTTTTACCCCTAGGCCACGCCTCCCTACTTAAATAAGTAGGCGCCTAGTTATACAATAAAGTAAGGGACAACGCTCCTAGCTACGAGTTAGCTTCTAGCTAGGACGCAGGATAGCTCACTCACTAATCATTTGGTTCCTAGAATATTTTTAGGGACACTTCATGACTAAACATCACTGGGCCACCCAACGCTGCCGTCGGACCACAAAGAAGAGCTAACCTAGCCTTGCCTCGCAAGACTTGAAAGACAAAGCTGCACCTGAAGTGCTAGCATGAATAGCATGATACTTTTCTCCAAGCGAATGTTCTTCGAAGTCGAATCTGAGGCGTGGCTGCCTGGAGGCATTGATAAGTCAGCTGACTCAGGCCTCGCAGAATCGGTGGGATTACTGTGCAAGACCAATAAAAAAGAACGCAAATTCTGGTGTCATTCCGGAAGTAGATGCCGTCATCATGTCTATAGGTCCAAAGCTTCATCATCACAATGGGTCTGGGCCAGCGAAGATCCCTGCCAGAGTGACTTCACAAAGCTGGCACGGCAGGCAAGCGACAGGCTTCGATTTCAAGCTATTCAAAGCAACAAAGCTAGTCTTGATTTTTGATACCATCAAAGCAACCTGGCGCCAAGCGCTCTGGTGGCAGACCTAAGCCAAGTCTTTTGGAAAATACAAGCTGTTCAAGCTTTTCTCCAGAGAGCTTTTCTCTCCTTTCAAAGCCTACTTGGGTACATCCGGCTCGACCCGAAGAGTTGCTGTGTCATTGCAGACTGCAGAAACGTGTAAGTGTAAGTCTGTCAGGAACCCAACAAACCCTCCTTGAGCAGCGCTTCGTACCGAGGCAAAGCCTACAAAGCCAGAAGTACAAGTAGAACAAAAGTGCAAGTGCGCGTCGAACTGCCAGCACAACAAAAGATTAGCTGCAGCATTGGCTGGTTCTTGCCTCTTCACCGCACTGCCTCTTGAGTGTGGCAACAGCTTCGTGGCAAGCCTCGGACAAAAACCGTTCCAGCTGCCACACCGACTTGCGAATCGTCCCGCCCCTCAAAGCCCGTCCATTTGGGCATCATGTGAAAGAATTTGTATTTTTGTATTGTTATTTTTTACTTCTTTAAGCCCGGGTAGGCAGCAAAGTGTAGAGGTGAAGAGGTAGGTAGCAGCTATAATGGTAGCTAGGGAGTCGCTAGTAGCTTAAGTAGCTACCACGTTCGCACTAATTTACTAATGATTTGGTTCCTAGATGTTTTAGGGAACCTTAACTTATAGAACACCTGTGCACACAGGAGACGTATGACGATTCTCGCATGAGGGGCGAGGCCATTGGTCTTGAGCCATTCATCAGGTGAAGGGCACCGCGCATTCGAGGTCGATAGGCCACGCTGGCTGAGAAAAAAACGAGGCCGTGTAGAGAGTGGGGCGTTGGCTGCTGGAGTTGTTCCCAATTCATAATATCTGTCTGTATGTATGTATGTATGTATGTACGTATGCCTGGATGTATGTATGCATGGATGTATGTATGTATTTGTTCCTTTAGGGTGTCTTTTCTTCCGCTTGTTGCAGGGCCATTTGGCCTCGAGTCTTGTGGCTGTTGGCCATACTGTTGAGGGTATTTCATCAGCTGCTTTGGCAGATGGTCTCGAGCCGGTGCCACAGCGTAGCTCCTTGCGCTCAGTACACATAAGTGTGAGCGCCTCCTGCATGGATGATGAGGCTCGGTGGCAACGGTGCCAACTGCATGGTTCAGCAGCAGCGCATGAAGTGCCACATCCTGACTTGGGCTGGGGATGCTGCTCAACTGGAAAGAGGAAAGCGGTTCCTCTTCGCTCTCAGGTCTCAGGGCAACACCGGAAGCGGTGCTCCGTGACAGCTGTGTGGGAAAGTAGGTGCGCAGCCCTGGGCTAGTTTTGACCGGAGTTTGCCCTCTTTCTTCAGTGCCTGCATGAGGATCAGTCTGTTCTCCTTGTCGGTCAGGACGGCTACTCCGCAGTGTTTGCACGTCACCATACAGCTCGCTGTCCCTTGCCCAGTACCATTCAACCACCTGTTTGCCCACGCTGGCGACGTTGACGAAATGGAGCCTCATGGTGTCTTGCGCATGTCTTGCTCGCTACTTTGAGGTGAGATCCCATGCAATCTCTCTGGGTGTGCGGAAAACGGAGGTTTGGATGCAATGACCGGGGTGTCGCCCGTCATCCGCTGACCAAAGTAGACCCCGATACACCAAAATTGTGTAGTAGTGGCCCGAGAAATGGTTGGGACCATGATGACAGACCAGGGCCACGGGGATGTATTCTTCCTTCCGTCGGCTGAAACCGTCCAAGGAGCAGGGCACGGTGAAGGGTCCATGTGGATTGAGTGCCCTTTGATGCTTGGCGACGGTTCCCCAAGTCCGTGTCTCGTTTGATGCCTTTTTCTCATCCATGAAGTATTGCCCTAGGCCTTCATTGCGCCAAGCGTTGATGAGTTCTGGAAAAATAACTTCGTCACGATATGCGTCCGGGTAGTCGATGTGGGTTGGCATTTGGATCGAGTGGTCAACCAGAGAGCGTTGACGAAGTGGCCAGCGTCGCCTTGGACATTGAGATCACGCCGCTGCCACAGCTTTTGGAGCCCTGGGAGTTTGAGCAGGTCCACCGGTTCAATAGTTTCGATGCTCTCCTGAACTGCTTCTCTGATGACCCCCCAAGGCTGGATATTGTGCTCCTGGAGGAATGCACAGAGCCACGTGAACGCACGCCAGGGTGCATTGGCGTAGCAGCGTAGCAACGTGGGCTTGGGTTGCCAACTATCATCGTCAGATTCTGCGTGAGCAGGTCTGTCGTGGTGGCATGGTCATAAAGAGGAAGCTGCACCATCGTCGAAACTTGAAGGTGAAGTAGAGGAAAAAACAGCTCCCTTCACTTGCAAGCGCGGATCACGACCATGTGACTTGGGCGCAGCCGGTCTGCCAAAATTTGCCATCATGTGTGTGTGTGACTTGCTGAAAGACATGTGCTTGAAAGGTGTTGCAAATCCCCTGCAACACAGTCACCCGGAATGTGTGTGTCATGGCAGATGGCGCTAAGCTGTTGCTGTTCCCCTGCAACTGACACTTACCCAACCAAAAGTGTTTGCTCAGAGCCAGCCGAGTGACAAAGGTCAACTCGGTGAGCTTCTGACAGTGTTGTGTAAGGGTCGCTGTCGTCCCATGAGTCAAAATCGTATTTAGGAACTTAAAGCCCCAATAACGAAAATCTGTCTCCTCTCACGTTGCCCACACTGTCCTGGGGCAAGTGGATTGCCAGGCGTCTCCGTTTTCCTGCGCTTGCTCAGGTCCTCGTTGGGTCGTTTGAGAAGACCATGCAACTGGGTTTCTTGTTCGTCCGAAAGGGACACACCCAAATTGGAGACAAATGTCTCCAAGCTGCTGGTAAAGGTTCCACCTCCATGGAGTTCTCCAATTCGGAGGGCGCTGGGTCTTTGTTGACCGCCTGCGTGCACTCCTCGGAGGTCTGCTTTAGGGTTTTCTGGCCCGCATTGAGCTTTTGTTGCAACTCCTGCATCTCGTTGAGCAAGGTCTGGTACTGGGCCTTGGTGGTGTCCAGTCGTTCTTGGAGTTGTGTCTTTTTGATGGACAGGTTCTTGAGCTCCGAAACTTGCCCCTTGAGTTTGATGGCGATATCCTTCTCCGTGATAGGCTCTGGCGCCGTCAAGCGAGTGACCACCTCTTGAACCTGAGTTGGAAGGGAGGCCATGTGGGTCTTGAGCATCTCAGTCAAGTCGGGCTCTGGTGGCTTGATAGGGCCAATGGCCAGGCTTTGAAGCTTCTCCTGGATATCGGCAAAGGTTCCAGGGCAACTACCTTCCAGTAGGTCAGTGGCCTCTCGTTGGATCTTGGTTCGTTTGAGCGGCTTGAACTTGCTCAAGTGAGGTTCTCCCCAGAGCCGACGAGGAGCCCAATGATGATGATCAAGGCGAACACTGCCAGGCACCATAGATCTCGACAAAAGTGAGGGAGGAGTAGGCCTGGATTGTGAGCAAAGAATGCGTGGTCGTACACAAAGTCCTTGGGCAAGCCGTGTCCTGGTTCTGCCGGCAATGTTCGCAAGGGGAGGGTTGCACTAACCGGTCTTCGTGGGCTGCTGGTTTGAGCACTCGTGTCTTGAGCCATGTATGTATGTATGTATGTATGTACGTATGTATGTATGCACGCATGCATGCATGTATGCATGTATGCATGTATGCATGTATGCATGTATGTATGCATGTATGCATGTATGCATGTATGCATGCATGCATGTATGCATGTATGTATGTATGCATTTTTTCTTCTGGAGGGTGGAGCTCTCGATGCCATTTGGCGGTTGTTCCTGGGGCTTGTGCCTCAGCGCTCGCGGTGGTCAGAAAAAGTCGACCGGCCAAGCCTTCATCATCCTGGGTGCCACTCTCGAGGTCGAGCTCTGGCTCAGGTGACTCCCTTGTTTCTTCCTCACCTTCCGGGCTGGGTGTCATGGCCTGTGGTGAGATGGAGTAGGCCGGGTTCGGGCCTGTCCCGTCAGGTGATGCCGTGGCTGAGAATTTCAGCTTGTTTGGCGCTGGTGGCGAGAAGTTGGCACTGTCCATGGCATGCATGTATGCATGTATTGTTTGTTTGTTTGTTCGTTAGTTTGTTTGTTTGCTTGTTTGCTTGTTTGTATGGTTGTATGTTTGTATGCGCGTACGTACGTACGTATTTTTTTCTCCTGAAGGTGCACGAGTTGCCATTTTGGCGGTTCCGACCTGGATGGGGTCAAACTCCGGCGGCTCCTCTTCTTCTCCGCCTTCTGGGCTTCCATCGTCAGGTTCAGGTGAGCGCTCATGCCCGGTGGAGAAGCGCAGCTTCTTGGGCGCAGGTGGAGAGAGAACAGCGTGAGCAGCTGGCGCCGGCTCTGGGGAGTGACAGGCTGGCTGGGTTTCATGGCCTGTTGCCTCTTGGGGAGCCGTCGTCGATGCACTGGTTGCCTCCTTGGGTGGCATGGTGTGCAGGTTGCCTTGGCTGGTCTGACTGGCCTGGCTGAAGAACTGGGCCAGAGTGGGCGAGTTTGGTTTATGCCCCTTGCATTCTTTCTGCAGCCGGTCTTGATCATCAAGGTGGCCGGAGAGTCCACAGCCTTTGCATTCGATGGACTTGCCAATCTGCCAGAGAGAGTACTGTTTAGGAACTGGTTGAAGAGTTCCTCATTGGCTCTCTTGTGGATGGCTTGGTTGCATTTGCTGCACTTGGGGTATCCCGTTGTCTCTTGAAGCCGGTGAACATCCGGTGTGATGGGATGTTCCTGCTGCAGCTTGAGCAGGGAGGCGATTCGACTGGCTCGTGTGGGTTTCTTGCCAACCGCTCGGCCTGGGGAAGATCAGGATCCGGGGTTGGGGCCGTCAGCTGGGCACAGTCTTCTTGCAGCCGTTCTTCAATCATGGCAGCTGTCAGACCTTGATGCACTCGGGTTTGACATGTGTGGCATTGGTACCCGCTTCTGTGGGGTTTCCATTGGTGTTTGCCTTGCTGCCATGGCTGTTTGCACTGGTCGATGAGGGCCTTCTTTCGTTGCTTTGTCTTGTGCGCAACGGCCCGGCCTGGTTTGGAGTGCAGGTAGTGCTCCTTGTCTTCATAGATTTTGGCCAGTCTCTCTGCGGCATGTTTGTAAATTTCGTAGTGGTCCTGGTCGAGTATGTGTTGCCAGGCCTCTTTGTCGGGATTGTGGATTTGGGTTGCCCTCTCCCAAGCTGCCAGGGCCGCATCCCTTTGGCGTTGGCGTAGATGAGGTTCATTGCCTGGGGCCTCGGGGGTCTTGTGGTTCTTGTGGATGTACAGCGGTGTAATCAAAGTGAAGTACTCCGCTGGCTGGCCCTGGGCGAGATCGTGGAAGCCGTTGCGCCTGCCCGGGTTCGTCCATGCCTCCCAGACTGAGCAGACCTGGACAATCACCCTCGTGGGAGTTTGGATGAATTGTGCTAAGGTCAGGAGCCCTTGGAAGA